CCTTCTGTGTTTCTGCTCTTCTCTGCTCATTGTCATTTGCTGCTCTGTGACTGTCGAACGGGTGAACAGAACGGCACCTGTCACTCAGAGGGGTGGAGGCGGTTTTTCCGACATTTTCCACGAGTAAGGGGAAAGGAGGTGGATGGACACACTCACGTCCCAAAAGGCGTAACTGAAACTAGTTTTCGTTCATGGCCATTTCCGAGCGTCGGTCTCATACTCCGAGCTAGACGCAAATAAGGACCACACGTAGTTCTGCGTCTGAGTAACAAGGTGATTTCTCCCCACTCACATATTCCATCCTCCGTTTCAACTGCAAGTCACGAACAACGGCCTCGTCTATATTCCTAAATAGGTGGGTACAACTGTTTGACAATTTTTTTATTTACAGACTCTTGTGCCGCACGCCTTTATATGCCAGCGACGGACGTCGCTTACGACGGACAGGAGACATTTTTCCACTTCGCTGACTGTACGTTTCCTTCATTGCCGACAGTGTCCGACAAGGTTAATTGTGTGCATAAATTGAAGGTCCCATCACTTAACTTGTACGTGTATATTAACCCACACACCCATATAAAAAGTACGTGCCTGTGCGTACAAGTGTGTTGTGTGTTTGAACTTGTTGTGAGTTAAAAGGGCTAGCGATGGGTCGCAGGAACGCTAGAACAATATTGATTATTGTCACGTGCACAATGCAGTCACGTGTATACCAACTCTGTAAGCCCCAAATTGAAGTATCTCCCGCATCGTCCTGATCAGGTTCATCACGCCCTCAAAATATGTTATACAGAATTTGTATTTTATTTTGTTCCAATTTTGTCAATAACAAATTACAAAATTCCTTCCACTGCGATGAGTCGGTAGTTTAGCCACGCAGTCGGTGCTATTCTAAGTTTGTTGTTGGTGTGTCTCTACTTTTGTTCTGCCTCTCTTTGTCAGCCTACACTAAAGTTTACCGCCTTTCCAGTCTGTCGTTTTTGTCTCGTAATATTTAAAAGAGTAAAAAAGAGTAAAAGAGAGATGACCTGAGAAACTTTTACGTTTACTTATGGACAGTAATATCGTTGTTGTTGTTAATTGTTTTGACGCCAGTGTGTCTACAGCGTCACTACTTCGGCGCCCAGAGGCCGGGGAGCGCAGCACGCGGACAGCCCCTCCCGCCGGCAGCACGGGCCGCAGTCCGTCTGCGCGCCCTTTCAGGGAGGCTTTACCTCGGCAAACAGTAATGAGAGTATAAAGCGTAGGGTCCGCGTCCAGGAGGCCGTTCGCTGGGCCTTTGCCTACACCTGCGGCAGACCTCCCTTGTTTAAACAGGATTTCGAGCAGCTACTACCTATAGCTCCTCCGGGACAGAGGTCTGGTCTAGTCTTCTCTATTGCTGTACTCTAGATCCCTTCTCTGCTCTCCTCGGGTCCCTAGAGACCTCCTCGATATTGGCCTGCCCATGTAGACTACATAGGAGGCAAAAGTCGTTGTCACTGACAAATTTTCTCCGCATGCTGTAGCCGACCTGGAATACAGTTGTTTCGTTGGTCGAGACGATTGACAAGGGCAACACTAATATTTCAATTAAATTCTTCGCTAGTTTGACGTGAGTCTGAAAGACGGGAAAATGGCAAACAAATGAGTGGATTAATGTAGAAGTCGGACCTACATACGGATAAAAAAAAATTAGGTTGACGAAGTAAGTGAGTGCGCTACAAATTGTCACTTTGGGTATTGTATACATTGTCCGGATGGTGAACGTATCGTCAAATAAACATAAACTCATCTTTAGATAGTGTCATTTCGTCATCTGATAATAGTACTTTGTAGTAATCACAAGTGTATTACTTTTATATAGTTCCGACATGCCTAATATGTACTATACGAATCCTCGACATACACACCACATGTCACTCATCCACAGACAACAAGTTAAATTTAAACGGCGTCGTCTCGCCACACCACCACACACCATCCCCAATCCCGATTGGGATTGTGGGATTGGTCAATACTCGTAAAAGAACATCGGGCTGAAACGTTTGCAAAGTCTTATTACTACCGGTATTAAATACGGCAGACTTGTAGCGGTAAAAGATGCCATTACACAGGACTTGGGAGGGTTGGCTACGATGCATATGATCTCCACACCGCACTTTTGTGTTTTTTGCCTTTAATTCCATTCATAGAATAGACCAATTCGCTATACTGGATTTATTTTTTTTTACTTCGATCCGCCTCGAATCCCCAAGTACCTCTATCGGTATACATCTCACGCAATGTAGGGCTTATTCACGTTTTAAAGTCCTAGTAAGCCTCCTTGTCCACGCTGAAACATTTACAAAGGTATTCCTTTACAACATCAAACCTAATGATACAATAAACAGTTTTTACCATGTAAGGGCAATCGTCCCCTGAAGCTCTCTGGCGCCCCCCAGGGGAGGCGCGCCTCACACTTTGAAAACCGCTGCTCTAAAGTACTCTGAGTCCTTTTGAATTCTCCTATCCACTATCCCTTAACCCCATGACGTTTCACTCAGAGGTCAAGGAATAGGAGATAGGGTTAGAACCTAGGAGCTGATTTTTAAACTATCCGACCGCAACCCATCTCTATACACGCGAGCAGACTACGCGGAAGTGTTTTCACTACTCGCGCATAAAAGCCCCGCCCCCACCTTCACAGCTGGTCGATTTCAACAGAGGAAAACCGACAACTGGAAGATGAGTGGAAAAGCGTCACATAAATGTATAAGTGCTCACAGCTCCGTGGGAATTATTATGTGCAATTCATTTCTAAAAGGCCTTCACATTACTATAATTAGATTTTTATTTAAATCTAGGCTACATTTTACACCAAAACGGAACACAAAAGCAGGACCAACCATCATGAATTGAATTCCTTGACTAACAAGAGAAAGATTCATTCATTTAAATAAATATTTAACAACAAATGGGCCGGTTCTAAAGGGTTATTCAGTTAAGCCCGATGAGAGGTGATACAGCTGTGCACATGTCATCATTAACAGACGTCGTTTAAGAGTGACGTTTGAGTGAACGAGGACATCCCAATTAATACCTGAGGACTCCTCTGTCCTCGCGTCACCTCCTCGTGTCTCTCGCTCGCATCTTAGGGAGGCGGAGCTAAGACGAAAGGAAGGGAGGCGAGTGAGGGAAGGGAGGAGTCGAGGAGGGGTATTGGGATGAGGCTTTAGTGTGTGCTTTGCTCCGCTCACCGGTCCGTCACAGCGGGCGGAGCTGTGATCCAATAGAGCTGCGTGTCCTCCGTCAGCAGCAGCTGATCTGATCCCTCTCTCTTTCTGCTTCACACACGTTGCATATAGCTATTTTATTGTCTTTTTCGGACTCCTTGAAAAACTACCAGACCGGTGAAACCATTTTTGCGAGCTTCTTTTGTACAGAGGAAAGTCTCATGTATTTTGCGTCATCTGATCGGCTCTCCTGATCGGCCTTTATAGAGAGCACCGATCAAACTATTAAGAGGGAATATCGCCCGACAATGATCGGCGGCCGATCGATTGGAGCATCCCTAATATCTACGGTACTGAAGTGTACGTGAGTTGCTTTTGGTGAAAGCATTAGCTAAACATGTAAAGTAGTGTTATAGCGAGTAAGCAACAAGCATAGAGAAAGAGGAAAAAGCAAAGAAGGAGAGGATGTGCTGCAAAGAAGGTATCCATCAAATATCCAAGTTTAAAGTTCCCAACACACAAAACAGACATCAAAGTACTACTTCCGAATCAGCTTGTTACACGGGTACTTAGGTAGGTACATACTAAATCCATCCATCATTTGACACGACATATTGATTTGAACAGGATTGTACTAAAAAATAGTCCGTTCCACGACGTACTAACTGCTGGAACTCAACAACAACTTAACTTAAAATGAGGGTATCACTGATGTTGTTCTCTTTTCCTTTTCTTTACTGTGGACAGTTTAGCCATAATGAATCCAAAGTGTTGTGCTCTCTACAAATATAAAAATCCATATTCAAAAAGGATTCTCACCCTTACTTCACACCATGTGCAAATTACCGAAGTACAGACAATGACAACTGACCGTACAAAAATACAGTGTGTGATCTGTATTATTAAAAAAAAAAAAAAGATGACTTAAAACAGCCCATGAAAACACTTTTTATGAATCAAACATTGATTTAATACAATCAATACCTGATCATTAACATGACGTAACACACTGACGTCATTACTTTTGGGCTATGAATGCGTTATGCTACGATGCTATGCACTATGCACTGATAATACATGTGTGTGTGTGTGTGTGTGTATCCAGGTGCTGACGGGGACCTCTCTTCCTGTACACACTTTGGTGAAGGTGAAAGAGGGGCTGCTGAGACAGAGAGAGCTGGAGATAGAGAGGTACTGCAGGACACACACACACGCACACACACACACACACGCACGCACGTACGCACGCACCACACACACACACACACACACACACACGAAGAGCTGAGTTCTCTATTTAGACCTAAGTGACTCATGTCATACACACCTTCAATGTGTATGTAGTTTACTGTGTGGATCTCTGTATTTAGCTGCTCCGTAGAATGGTGCAGGAATGAGTCCTTAAAGCTGGAAATGAGTCAGCAATTTACCACCTCTAGTTCCCTTGTCTTTATGTCAATGTTTTTTTAATGTGTTTTTTGTTAGATGCCTAAAATAAGATTTACATCGTGTGACTACTGAACCAAATATTAGCTTAGCGGTGGTGATGCAACTACGCGATGTAGTTCCTTTTATAGCAGGGGTGTCATACTCAATTACATCGCTGGCCACATTCGCATAAAGGTTGCACTCAAAAGGGCAGGTTGTAACTATATAAATATATAATATATATATATATAAAATAATGTATTATGGATAGGGTAATAACTTAGTAATTAACTACGTCTGAAAGCAGAAGTCCAGGGCAAATAATTAAAAAGTCTCTTCAGTGTGCATGTCACGAAACAAGATGCATTGTGGGACATTTAGTTTATGGGCCTTGAGTTTGAGACCCCTGCTTTATAGCCTAGCGTTAGCTTTTTGCTTCTGCCAATTGCTTTTAAGCTTTAAATTCATATTGCGGTTTTAATATATTGAGATTATCCTGCTCAGGTCTAGAA